GTGTGTTTTTCCATCACTCCGAGGAGGGCGGGTGATTGTGCTAGAATGATGTCTTGCAATACCGCCCTCCTGCGGTTTGGATGGGGAAAACCCACAAGTGGGTTTTTTTTTTTTTCCCCAAAAAAACTTGGCATCGTTTGGTTGTACGAGGATCTCGTGTGTGGCTTAGTAAGTTGATGGTCTTTTTATGCGTAAAGTGGGAAACGTGTTTTCCCTTTCTTTCCTTGGAGGGAGGGGGGAAGGGTGGTGAAAACAAATTGTTGCGCTGCTTTTAGATGATTTTACATGATTTTAACGTACATGTTGACAAAGTGGGTCGGGATGGAAGCGGTACGCATGCCTCACATACCGCCGGGACGCGATAACACGGGTTTCAATTGGTGTTTTTACAGAGAAGAGAGAGAAAAGAGAACAATGAGATTTCCCTGATAATGTAAACTGATGGCTGACTGCGACTACAGCCGCACCCGGAGCTCAACTCCTGCAGGAGAGGAGCCACACTCCCTGTCTGGAATCTGTTTCCATTACAGTGGAGTCATGCATGCACAAACGCTGATAGGACTGTGCTGAAATGTTGGTATTTTAAACAGTTTCCGGGAGCATTGTTATCGAGGCTCCTGCTGCTGACTTACTGTGGACGTATGAGCGTAATGCGTTGGATAAACAACGGTTCTTTGTGCTTTTTACATTATTAAAATACTTTAAAAATCCCTTTAGACGAGTACAATATGATCTGGTTGTTGATCACCCTGTTGTGCGTCTGTGTGTGTGTGTGTGTGTGTGTGTGTGTGAGAGCATGCCCTGATTCACCGTCTATGCTGTGTCCTATCACCAGTTGGACACCTGGTCTCACTGATGAAAGACGTCATGTGAGGCGCTTCAGTTGCTGCTGTCTTAGTGGAAATGTACACGTTGGCAAGCTCACAAAGGTCCCTTCAAAGGAGAACAATATCAGTGTTATGATTTTGGTTTTGTGCTCATCCACTGTGATTAGTTTACTGTGGCAGTGGTGAAGGCCAGAGCCACCTCAGTATATCAGCATTAGACTTTTAAGTTATCCCTAATGTAGAGGATTGTGTGGGTTCATGCAGACATGTCTGTACAGTAAGTGTGGGGTGTAAGGTCCAGGTCGTGAAGCACTATTGAAAGTGAACTATTTTCCACTTGGAGACATTTATTTCTTTTTCAGGCCAGGAGCTGTCGACTGGCCACACAGTGCAGCCTGTTGCATGATTGAGTGTTAGGCATGAGACAGCTTAACATCTCACCCTCTTCACTCTAATGCTTTTTCATGTAAATCCCTTATATGGTGATTAGCATAGTCTGACCTGTGTGTTTAAAAAAACAAAACAACCAACAGTAGGTGTGTAAGATCCCTCTTTGCCTTTTAATAACTGTGAACAGTGGCTCTCAGTAGGTTTTGAAAGTGTTCATCTGTGACACTTTCTGTCAAGTGCGCTAAAAATAGTACCGGGTTTTTATTTTTGGTCTGTGTTTTGGATTCTGTCTCAAATCAGTTCATCTCATTCTCTGGAAATGGAATTTGTTTTCCTCCTGAATTACCAGTGAAATCCCACGAGACTCCACACGCCAGGGACCAGATTTGGCAGTTTGAGCTGATCTCAATCTGAGACGTGGTAGACATGAGCCCGTGTGGTTAACTCTCGCTCTTTCTCTCCCACAGTGCATCTGGTGCCAGCGTTGTCGCCATCGATAACAAGATTGAGCAGGCAATGGTGAGTTTTCTACACATTTTCAAGGCTAGAATGAATGTTGTCAGGCGACCTTCTTTGCACAGCCTGAGAAATGTTCAGAATGAGTTGTCCCACTGCCGAGGCTAAGTGACGCAACTGTCTCAGAGACAACAAATACAAAACCCACATTTAACATAATCTGTGCTAAATGCACCTTTTATTAACTTCATTGAAGCTACTGCATTTCCTATTCTAAAGAACAACCTGTAGGAAAAAATGCAGTGTAAAATCTAATATTCAGTATCTCAGAATTGCCCATAAAGTTTGATTGACAGGTGACCTCTGGAAAATGCAGTTGTAAAACCCCTGTGGGTAAAACACAGTTAAAATATATATCACACTTTAAACTGAGGTAACATTTTGCTTTGTTTTAGGATTTAGGATGTTTAAAAACTATGTCAGCTCATTTTTTCTCAAGTGTCATTTGTGTGCTAAATTTAGTTTCCCTTTTCCTGTCTTTCAGGACTTGGTGAAGAGCCACCTGATGTATGCTGTTCGCGAGGAGGTGGAGGTGTTGAAAGAGCACATCAAGGAGCTGTACGAGAGGAACTCGGTGTTGGAGCGAGAGAATGCCGTACTGAAGTCGCTGGCCAACACGGAGCAGCTCGGCCAGCTGTCCAGTCAGCTCACCCAGGGCAGCAGCACTTCGCCGCCGCTGCAGCAGCAGCAGCAACACCCGCTCGTAACAAACAACAACACCCCCTTGGCGCACCACGAGGGCAGTCAAAGCGTCCCCCATCAGCCCAACATAACCTCGGCGTGATCCCCCTTCCCCCAGTACACACGCTCAAACACACACCACCCACGGGCAGGATTAGAAGATCCTGTTAGTAAAGACAACAACTGCTACCGTCCCCTTAGCTCCATAAAGCAAAAGGCTCGGCTCTGCGTTAAATATGCTCCATTTGAGGAAAAAATCAACAGCGACATCTTTGTTTGCCACCAAGAGCCATGCTTCAGTGTGTGCACGTTGCCGTCACCGGGCCTTCACATTAAGACATTTACCACCCTTTGAAAAGTCTTATTCTGTCCCCGTGTTTGGCTGCAAGAAAGCTGAAAAAGAAGGTGGGGCAGGTGAGCACACCATAAAACTGCATGCTTTTCTCGTGCAGGAGAGGTGGGGGAGGGGGGATCAATTTGTTGGGTCAACAAGTGGTGGAAGAGGACGGTGCAATCCTGTGAGGGGCCCGACGAGGGTCCTGTAACATCCAGCAGGGACTGTCCTCTCTGTATCCTCACCCCCACATCACTCTCTGGCCCAGAGAACTGAGGTGGGCGGGGGGAGAGCGGGGGAGAAGATTCATCCTCCCTGAGTGGAGGAGGACGCCAGCGGGCGCCTCGGCTTGAGTGGAGTGAATTGAGAGCCTCGGCTTGTTATATGCTGCAACAAAAGCTTGTGTTGTTTTCTCAGAGCCACCGTACTTTGACATGAATCATAATACTTTTTTCATTAGTTCAGTTTTAGTATTTGCATTATTTATTTCAGGGCTGCTATTTTCATAATGTAAATGAACAATGTCATGGAGATACTTATTAAAAACAAAAAAGAAACCTTTCTCTTTGGTCTTTTGGTATTTTAGAATCTGTCAGGTATTAAATTTGGTAGTCTCTTGCAACAAGTAGATCTCAGTAAGTAGGCAATAAGTTCCATAATAGAAATTTTTCTCTTCATGAAATAGTGCTAACACTAAAGCCGAGCTTACATTAGGTGAAATCCAGGTTGAATGTATATTTTGTAAAGTGTAAAGTATTAAGAGCAAGGAGGGTTTGTACAGGAGAACACCTGTTGTTAAGATGTGATGGGATGTTTTGATAAAGAAAACTATTAATTTACTTTTTTTTTCTCCTTTCTTTTTTTTTAAAAGACTTTCTTTGTCAAAGCAGAAAAACAGAAATTAATTTGGGGGTTTGGTTGGGGGATGAAAAGCTGTGAAAATTGTTCGACCTACTTTATAACCAAAGACGCAAAGCTGTGTAAGTCTTTTTTTTCTCTCTTTTCTTTCCATTTTTAAATGCACACTCATACTTTTTTTTTTCTACTCTCTCCTTTCCTATATTTCTTTTTTTGTCGCTGTTTTGCATGTTCTGCATGATCTATAATCAAACCACTTTCTTACCTCATGTTTTCATCCAGCACTCTTTATTTCTCTGTCAGTCTGTGAATGATTGTGAAAGGATTAACGAAAGAGAAAGGGAACAATGGGCATAGAGGGTGAAGTAAGTAGTCCAGGGGGAAAGAAGAATAATAAATAATAATAAAAAGAAGAATGGAAAGGTGTTCGTGTCGGACGGAGGGGAAAGGGCCTTGTGCACAAAACGGTCAGAAAAGGAGCCATCTTTTTTTGTTTTCATGTAAATGCTGTGTTTGAGTTTCATATGCAGACAAAAGGTTTTGTTACATTGCAGATTTTCATGTATTTAATGAATGCAGCATCTAGATTTCGATTGTAGTGTACCAACACTTAAAAATAAAAAATAACAACTAGGCAACAATATCCACACAAAAAGAAGAAGCAAAACGATAGAAGCTATTAAACATTTCACACTTAGAAGCTGGAACCCAGTCGATTTGTGTGTGAGCATATTATGGGATGTCCTGTCTGTGTCACGTCCTTTGTGCCTCCTGTGCCGTCGTCTGCTGTCGCCAGGCGATCCGGTTTCTTTCTCTGTGGCTTAGAACCAAACGAAAATGCTTGGTAATTGTACAATCAGTCATCTTTCTACAGGATGGACTCTTCTGATTTCCTTTCTTTTTTCTTTCTTTTTGCAAATGGGCTTATTTCTTTTCTCTTTAGAGTATTTTTTTCCCCTGTTTTTCTTTCATTTGAAGGAGATGCCGTGTACATGCCAAGTGTACTGTATGAAAGTGATCACTGAGCCTTGGAGAAAATATCTTAACAATGCCCTTGTAATGTGCTGTTCAGACAATTTTAGTTTTGAGTCAAAAATAAATTACTGTTTTATTAAGAAAATGTCTTCATGTTGCTTTTTTTTTTATCCTCCCCCATCCCCCCCCTTTTGTGACCAGGAAAACCACTCATGACATTTTCTTATTACATTTAATAAAACAAAACGAGGTATGCAAAACACTCACAGATGATTATTAACATGAACATATTTCCCCACTAAGTCATGACAGTGAGGCATGCACAACACCAGGACCCTGAAGCTGAAGCAGCTGATTGTAATTCAGCCATTTTCTTTTCCTACTGCGGCATATTGAAATTTCTTATGTGAAAGAGTGCCAGTCACTCATTCTCATGCAAGTCCTTCTGTTAAAGGCAGGGTTAGAACTGGAATGGCTCGTGCCCTCACAATAAAGCTCAGGGTTTCCGTGTGTGCGAATTCCAGAGTAGATTTGATCCATTGTGTTAAAACAGGCGGACGTTCAGATCTCCACTGTAATAGTATACATCGTCTGTTAGAGAACAAAATACTTTTAAGTGGCTGAACCTTTTGAGGAATTGAGAGATATAAGTAATATCAAAGGCAGTTTAAGCTCTAAATGTCATTTAAATGTGTGTATACCCCTTTGTCTTTCTATAAAGTAGAGAATAAAATCTTTCAGGAAAATGCTTAAATTTTTTTTTTTTTAAAGAAAAACTTTAAAAAAAAAAAAAAATTTGTGAATTTTGAAAATCCCATTAAATTAAAACACTTGCAATAAAATTGGTAAATAAATTTGGTGAAAACTTATTTTTTTATTTTTTGACAGAAAACTTTAAATTGTGTCTATTAAGTTCAAAACAGCAACACGAATCTGACCAAAAAAACCACTATTTTATTATATATATATTATTTTTTCAGATTAATGGCTTTATTAGTAATTAGGCATCCAGCTAACTCTGACCTACAATGTCTCATTCAGAATCATCTCTAAAACAGCTCATATCCTCTTATCACAGTTCCTTGGAACAGCAGGAGACACGACGCTCTGTGCAATCTGATCTGTTGGTTTGGAAGGAATTTATTTTTCCTACGAGGAAGTAAACAATCCCTGCATGTTCGCTTGAAAGATACATAAAACAAAACAATCAAGCTTTTTAAGGAAGGAGAAAATGAAGGCGACACCTGCACAGAGGCATGTATGAACTCTTCACGGCATCCTTCGTCACTTGTCACCAACCTGCCAATTCAGACATAAATTATCCCCTAATAGTTGTTCGGAAAGGTGGTAATTTTCGAAGGAATTCTGGCATGTAACTTGTCCTCCTTCACCCCCGAAGCTGACGTCAATTTCACAACTGAAATATCTCATTTCAAAATATTGTTTTAATTGTCAGTGTCTACTTTCTAAACCGTGCAAGGAATAATGAGTAACAGTAAGCCAGAGTAAGCTTGTCCCTCTGTTTCTTCTTTTCATAGATGGATTAAATCTGTGCTTGAGCTCTTAAACAGTTCCTAAATTCAAGCTTAAATAAGTCCAACCACTTTAGCTCTAAACTGGTTTTATGGAACAGCTTCTTTATAATAAGTCAGACTATTCTGAGCACGTCTCTGCTGTTTGGTGTCCCCGTCAGAGCTCGTCTTTTTTCCTTCACTGTGTAATGTTTCTCTTTCTAGGTACTGACTCAGTGTTGTGTTTGGCAAAGACTCTGACACGTCTGTCACGCCCTAAATCAGACTGTGGATTCCATACTTGCTTTTCTAACGCAGAGAAAATACGCGCTCTATAATAACTCCTCCATGTAAGCAGTGAAAGGAGGTTGGCCTTCGTGGTCAGGTACATCCCAGGTGTTCTGCTCACATTAAGTCATTCTAAGTCGGTCTTTCAGTGTCTCTTTGTGCAGGTCTGCAGGGGTGAAGATATAGGCAGGTAAAACTACGGCCTCAGTTGATAATCATAATGAATAAAAGCAAGTGGAAAAAGGTTGTAGCTTTAAGAAAAAGCCTTAAATTTGTTACAACTGACCAGAAGACAATTGAACTATATGAATACCCTTTATCATTTACACTTTTTCCTCTTTGAATTAGTGGCCTGTCGATACAAATGACCGGGAGGAGAGCGCATGCCAAAAAATTAGTTTTTAAGAAAAATACACGTCAGCAACTTTCCAGCTAACTGAGTCACAATTCTGACACCTTATTGCAAGCAAAGCCGGACTTACTAACTCTTTATTATCTGTTTTCTTTCTCCCTACAAGCCTCTGGATGCATTTTGTACTCCTAACCAATAATACAAAAATGGGAATGTGACTGCACTTTGCAGAAGAAAACACCATGTCATGGTATGTTTACAGGTGCCAACATGTGAATCCAATTTCCCTTTTAGAGTTTTACAAAGTTACACGTAATTTGATCAACTATCACTTAGGTCCAAACAATGGTGGACAGGCCCTTCTGGCTCATTTTTACCCCGGTATCTGGGTTGACTTCTGGATGGCCTTGTTTGATCTAATTTTTGTTTTATCATCTCAAAAAAATTTTGTTTGAAAGTTTTTTTTCCCTCCGTTGAAGGTTACACTCTGTACCAGGGAATGATGGAACACTGTGTTGTGTAACATGAACAAAAGAGACTTCAGAAAAACTGTGACAACAGTTGATAGACTTGGTATGACCTGAATTTAGCATATTCTAGACCACGTCTTTCTCTGTGTTGGGTTATGCTTCTTGCTACATGTCTGCTAAACCTTCTGAACGCAGTTTGGACTTTCTTGCTGGATAGCAATAAAAAGCACATCATCAAATTTCTGACTCCTCCATGAAGGATTAACATTAAAGAGCAAACTACAAAGACTCAAACTGGCACATTGTTGCGAACACAAAAAAAAAAAACTAGATCAACCAGGCTTTGCGTCACTGTGACAACTCTTCCTATTCAGCTACTTCTCACTCAACATGTGTGTTCATGCTGCAGCAGGTTACAGCTCTGAGTCACTGTGGCTTATCCAGAGTTGTGGTAAGATCGGGGTGTGTCTCCCGCATCACTGCGAGCAAACACAGTTCAGAAAATGCATTAATATAAACTATGAGTGAAAGCTAGAATTAACATTTCCTCTCCCTATAATTTGATTATCAGCTTGTCCTGACATGTTCTGACTCCTGACACTTATTTAATACATGTCAGGAGTCAGTCATATGAGGATATTCACCAGGTTACATTGTGTATATTATGCAAGGGTGGAAAATAGCAAATCACATTTATTCATGCACTTCAATTTTGTGTACTTGTACTTTTTCATCCTATTTTTATTTTATGCAACTAAAATACTTCTACTCCACTAGATTTCAGAGAGAAAAATTTTACTTTTTACTCAACTACATTTATTTACAGATACAGTTACTAGTTACAGATTGACATTTTACATACAAAATCTACAAATATAACAAAAAAAGAAGCATCAATGGGCAAATCAGGACACCCTCCCTAAACAATCTAAATGCTATTTACATGTTAATGCATCCAGTAACAATAATCCAATAATAATATGATAAAATAACATTGAATTCTGATTATTTAGTACTTCTGTTTGACTGTTCTTTTACTCGAGTATTACTACTCTTACTTAAACCTACTACACAGAGTTTGTAACTGGTTATGTAACAGTCTCAGTTTGTTGCTGACCTACTTAAACCAACAAGGGCATCAGCGAGAAGACTGGATATTTCTGTATAGTTATTTTTAATGCTTTTCCACCAGGTTGGATTCGGTCTAGTTCCCCTTGAAATCAATGAAACGTGGTGCAAACACTACCGCTTTTGTCCAAAGGACCAAAGTTCCTTGCTGCTGCTTTAAGTAAAAAATCTGAATACTTCTTCCAGCACTGGTATTATGAGATTGTAATGAGCAAAACCATAAGAATGTATTTTTATAGTCTCATTACTAGATGAACATTACAAGTTCAAATAAATTTGAATGTTTAAATAACTTTTATTGTACTTTATGCTATTGTACTATTTTTTGGCATAGAGATTGCCTGAATTATTGTTAGTAAGCTAAATTTGAACATTTCCTGTCAAAATGTACAGCTACAGCTCTCAGGGGCCACTGTACTTACACATGTATCAGAGAGAAATAAAATAAGATCAGCTTTCCCCTCTCACTGCAATACTTTTACTGGGAATGGTTGTGTAACTCTCTTGTCTCAGCATAACCGTTCCAAATAAGCTCAAGTGTCACATAATGCCGCACAGCACAGGGGAAGGAAGTCTTACATAATTGCAGTGGTGATTTGTGTACGTGTGTGTGTGCTAGGCAGGGACAATTACTCACCATTCAGTCATCCACAACCACGCCCTTGCAATTATTGTTAATTCGATTTACTGTTTGAGTGTAACACTACTGACTAACCCCTGGCATCAAGCCATAAAACTAATTCATGTAAACTTGAGCGTGTGGAATGAGCAGATAATTTAAGACTCTGGTGCCATCGTGTGGGTATGACATGAAAGTGGTTGCTAAAGTGGAGGAACAGCAGGTATTCTTCAGGGCAAGACCTAGTTAAATACATTATAGTTAAATTATTCACTAGAAATGAATGGTGAAAGAAAAGAAGTCTATTCTAATCAAAGGGGTTATTTTTTAGATCATATGTGTTAAAGTAATAACTTTCTCAGATGGATGTCACAGGGACATAATTATACCAAAAACAGAGTAGGAGATGATAACATGTGGGAATTCCAGGGCCCTCGTATTGTGTGTGATGGCTGACATAATTTATGTTTCACCGGTGCTTTACCTGCCATGACAAGTCAAAATGTCCTCCATGAGAAAAACAGACAAACAAAAACTATAAATTATAGACCAACACGTTGCACATGTATAAACTGATGGAAAGAATGGAAAATTATAGACAAATATATAATTTAGAGAAACAGGATATAATTAAAAGTGGATTTAGGAAATGCAGGGGTTATTTGGATCCTGAATGAGGTAGAAAATGAAATGCAGGGGAGTGCCCTTTACTATTATCTGTTATGGTAAGTTTAATTTTTGGGAAGATAGGACTTTGGAAGTAAAAACATTACAAGAATGAATAAATGAAACTGAAATGTGGGAGAAATTGAGATTTATGTTTTCTTAATGTTCTTCCAAAGAAGGAAGTTTTGAGAAAATACTTATTGAAAGTATAGGAGATAATTTAGAGACAGTTGAGCAATTTCCATTCTCAGGCGTAAATTTTAACTCCAGATTATCTTAACATATTGTGGTTAAGTGTAAACATTGTGTAAATGTGATGAGATGCCTTGTGGTTGACTGGGAAGCAGATGCATCCTTGTAAAATATAAATAATATGTAGTAGAGTGGGATAAGATGGGCACATTTTTACTTATACTGGCCTCTAGGCAAAGAAAAATAAGACAGAAGTATAATAAAAACATCTACCCTTATTATCAGAATGCCCCCTATCTTTAAAAATGCATAAGACAAAAGCACGATTAAAAAAACTAAACTAATAACTAACGTATTAACTAATAATAATAATGATAATCTAATCATTATTATTCCTTGTGCAAATTATCTTATTTCTTTCCTTAAGGGTAATATTTACAATGATGTACTGGCAGAAATGGAGTACAATATTCATAAGTATGTTTTCTTTGTATAATAACCTGTAAATAAGAACTGTAAAAAATGAGCTGTTAATTAAATCTACAGACTGTTGAATCGCCACATTTCTACAGTAGCCCAGAACAGACAAACACACACTTGCAATCTGCAACTTCACAGCTGGATGCCACTAAATCCTTCAATTTTAATGCAATTAATTAATTAATTAATTAATTAATTAATAGGAGCATGAGGAAGTGTAGGAGCTCTCTACCTCCACAAGATGGCAGTAAATCAACACTCAGTTGCAGTTAAACCTCAAAGAAGACGAAGAGGACGCCGCCCACTTGCTGATGATAGCTGCTCATGCGGCCTCCACTGTTTTGATTCACAGCTCAGACAGACAGACAGACA